CCCCCGGCCTTTGGTGTTTCAAGCCTGGTCCCTTTGGCCCCTCATGATCACACCCTCAAGTCTTCTTAAAGCCAAACAGTAGTGTAGCTTAACTAGAAAAGAATGTCTTCCTTGAACATTGTGCTCTTTTAAGAACTATCAATTTAGGATCAAAATAACAATAGTAACCGGAAAGATTCAATGGGTAATTTAGGGGGTGGTAAGTTTCTGTGAATGGAGAAAGATCAGTGTGAAAGAGGAGAGTGAGAGTAGTTGCACAACTTGAAGAATTGTAATCGAAGTCACTGAAGTGGACATGCAGAAAATGTTGAATTAGTGTTCTGCTGTATATATTCTCAGCAACAGCAAAATAATAAGATAAATACTTTTTTAAAGAATTAAATGATGAAAGAAATACAATAGAAATAATATTAGATGAAAAAAATAATTTGAACCAAATTACAAATCCTAAAAAAGCTAGTAGAATACTTGTTAACAGTGTGTAAAATGACTGCTGACCAAAGTAAAAAGCATTTCTTCAACTACAATAAAATATTTTAGAAAGGATCTGTAATGTTGTGAAAATGTACTGTAACAACTTCAAATAAAGGAATTAGACTTTTGTGTATAAAGTCATCTTTTTTAAATTTGTGGCCATCCCCCAAAATGGAGCAAATCAAAATTGGAGCATACCTGGATAAACAATCTGGAGGAGAAAACAACATGACTGACAGTTCTGGGGGGACATGGGAGAGGGGGAGGTTGGGGGAAGGAAATGGAGTGAACAAACTCGGGACAAGGGAACAAGAAGTGATCCAAAATCAGCAGCAAGGAGGGTGTAGGAGGCCTGGTAGGGCATGATCAAGGGTAATGTAACCGAGAGGAAATACTGAAACCCAAATGAAGGCTGAGCATGATTAGTGGGACAAGAGGAAAGTCAAAGGAAATAGAGGAAAGAGCTAGGAGTTAAAGGGCATTTAGAAAGGTCTAATTATAGGCATGTACATGCCTATGTAAATGTAAATATATTTATGATGAGGAGGAAATAAATCTGTGCATATATTTATAGGTTTAGTACTAAGGTAGCAGATGGACATTGGGCCTCCACTCAAGTACTCCCTCAAGGCAAGAACACTCTGTTCTATTAAATTGGCATTCTATGATGCTCACCTTCCCGACACAACCACTGAAGACAAAGCGGGGGAACAAGCATATGTGAAGAAAGCTGATGGTGCCCACATATCAAAAGATACAGCGTCTGGGGTCTTACAGGCTTGAAGATAAGGAAGCAGCAATCCAGCTGAGAAGCAACCAAGCCCATTATGGAAGAAGCACACCAGTCTGTGTGATCATGAAGTGTCAAAGGGATCAGGTTTCAGGCATCAAAGAAGAAAAAATCATATCAATTGTGTGCTCGCCTCCATGATAACGATTGCTGAGGACAAATGGGTGCATAAGCAAACATGGTGGAGAAAGCTGATGGTGCCCAGCATCTGGGGTCTTAAAGGCTTGAAGTTAAACAAGCAGCCATCTAGCACAGAAGCATCAAAGCCCACATAGGAGAAGCACACCAGCCTGTGTGATCATGAGGTGTTGAAGGGATCAGGTATCAAGCATCAAGGAACAAAAATCACATCATTGTGAATGAGGGGGAGTGCAGATTGGGGACCCAAAGTTCATTTGTGGGCAACTGGACATCCCCTTACAAAAGGGTCTTGGGGAGGAGACGAGCTGGTCAGGGTGCAGTGTAGCTATGATGAAACATACAACTTTACTTCTTAAATGATTCCTCCCCTTAACTATCATGATCCCAATTCTACCTTACGAATCTGGCTAGACCAGAGGATGTACAGTGGTACAGATAGGCACTGGAAACACAGGGAATCCAGGACAGATGAACCCCTCAGGACGAGTGGTGAGAGTGGCGATACCGGGAGGGTGGAGGGAAGGTGGGGTAGAATGGGGGAACCGATTACAAGGATCTACATAACCTTCTCTATGGAGACGGACAACAGAAAAGTGGGTGAAGAGAGATAACGGACAGTGTAAGACATGACAAAATAATAATAATTTATAAATTATCAAGGGTTCATGAGGGAGGGGGCGGCAGGGACGGAGGGGAAAAATGAGGAGCTGATACCAAGGGCTCAAGTGGAAAGCAAGTGTTTTGAGAATGATGAGGGCAACAAATATACAAATGTGCTTGACACATGGATATATATTTGGATTGTGATAAAAGAGTTGTAAGAGCCCCCAATAAAATGACTTTTTTAAAAAAAGCTAGGGACAGTATGTAGCATTCAGTAAATTATCAATGTTATATATTACCGTTTAAAAACTTTATGAATGGACTACTGAAAGGTGATTTCCTGTTAAACCTTTCAGAATAAAACGAAGTATTGAATACTTCTAGCTGCCTTACAGTCTTACTAGGGGAGCACAGAAAAGATTGCAGTTGAGATAAGATTTGCCTTTTATTTATAGCTTCTGTCTTTCCAAGAAGTACTCAAAATATCTTAAATAAATATGTGTGTAATAGTATATCAAAGATATATAATTAGTGGCAATAAGACATAATTCAATGAATGACATTGGGAAATTCATGTAGCCTTTTGGTGAGAAAAAACTAAGTTGCACATATACCTTATACTTTACATTTAATAAATCTAAGGGAAAACTATTTTAAACTCAAAATGAGGAAGATGTAGTAAAATATGGATAAAGATATACTTTATTAAGTACAGGAACTGTCATGACAAAACTCCATGACAAAAAGCAAAATCAAGTGACAGACTGCAGAGTTTTAAATTAACATTTTATGTAGATGCTAAATTCCATAATATATAGAGTACTGACATATTGATAGAAAAGGACCACAGCACCATAGAAAAATGACCAAAGAATATGAAAAGGATTCCCCAAGAAGGAAAGGTAAATGAACTCTAAATTTCAGAGTTTACCATAATCTCAATCATAAAAAGCAAATATAAGATTTTACTGAATACCAGTGTTTATTTATGTATAACAAAGATCGCAAAGTTTAATCACATACATTAAAGAGGATGTAAATGAATTGTTATTATGTGCCTTTGAATCCGTTCCAACGCATTGCAGTCCTGTGCACAACAGAGGAAACACTGCCTGGTCCTGTGCCAGCCTCACAAGGGTTGTGTGAGCCCATCGTTGCAGTCACTGTCAGTCCATATCCTGGATAACTATCCTTTTTATTCACTGCCCTTTTGCTTTCCTGATGCCCCTTTCCACTGACTGTCTGTCCTAATACCATATCCAAAGTATTTGAGATTAAGTCTTGCCTTTCTCGCTTCAAAGGAGCATTCTGCCTGTACCCCTTCCAAGACAGGTTCATTTAGTCTTGTAGTCCATGGTATAATTTCTGTATTCTTCACCATCACTAAGTATTTTTTGGATTTGCTTATTCAGTGTCCAACTTTCACTTGCAATTCAGACTATTGAAACAATCTTGGCTTGGATCTAGGTGTACCACAGTCCTCAAAGTGATGTGCTTGGGCTCTTCACATGCAATGCCTCATTTCTTGACTCCTGCTGCCATGAACACTGCTTATGGATCTAAGCAAAATGAAATCATTCATAATTTAAATCTTTTCTTTGTTTATCATGATCTTATCTATTTGTTCAGTTGTGTTTTTTCTTTATATTGAGTTGCAATCCATGCTGAAGGCGACAGTCTTTGGTTTTCATCAGCAAGTGTTTCAAGTCCTCCTGCCTTTGAACAGTGAAGGTCATCAGCATATGGAAGTTGTTAGTAAGCCTTCTTCCAATCCTGATGCCATACTCTTCTTCATATAGTCCAGCTTTTCAGATTATTTGTTTAGTACACAGATTGAATAAGTATGATAAAAGGATACAACCGTGACTCCCCATTCCTGATTCTAAACCATGCAGCATGCCCTTGTTCTATTCACATGACTGTCTCGTCATCCATGAGCAGGTTCTACATGAGGTCACTGAAGTGTTCTAGAATTCCCTTTCTTCTCAATGCTGTCCTTAGTTTGTTATGATGCGTACAGTAAATGCCTTTGTATCGTCAATAAAACACAGGTAAACATCCTTCTGATATTTTCTGCTTTGAACCAAGATTCCCCTGACATGAGCAATGATATCACCCACTCCACATCTTTTTCTGAATGTGACTTTAATTTCTGGGTAGCTCCCTGTGGATGTATTGCAACAACTGTTGTTTGAAGTATCAGCAAAATTTTACTTGTGTGTGATGTTAATGATACACTGTTCTGTCATGTCCACATTCAGTTGGGTCACCTCTCTTTGGAAGGAGCACAAATATGATTCTCTTCCAAATTGGCCAGGCAGCTGTCTTCCACATTTCTTGCCATAGGTGAGTGCTCCCAATAAGCTCTCCATCCGCTTATTGAAGTATTCTCATTGGTATTCCAGCAGTGCTTGGAGCCTTGTTTTTCAGTAACACCTTTCGTGCAGCTTGGACTTCTTTTTGGTGCTATTGGTTCTTATTCATGTGCTACCTCTGAAAATGGGTGAATGTCAACTATTCTCTTCAGTACAGTGATGAGGTATTCCTTCCATCTTCTTTTGATGCTTCCCACATTGTTCAACATTGTTTCCATCGACTCTCAACATCACAACTGCGGCTCAAATGTTTTCTTCAGTTCTTTCAGCTTGACATATGCTGAGCATGTTCTTCCTTCTTGGCTTTCTAATTCTAGGTCTTTCCACATTTCATTGTAAAACTTTGTTTTCTTGAGCTGCCCTTTAAATTGTTCTGTTCAGCTCTTTCAGTTCATTTTTAAAAATTTACTTTAGCCACCCTATATTCAAGGGCAAGTTTCAGAGACTTTGGACATCCACACTGATATTTTCTTTCTTTCCTGTCTTTTTAATCGCCTTTTATTTTCGCTTGCACAATGTCATACATATGAGCAATTGATGATTTGTTCCACTGTCAGCCCCTGACCTTGTTTTGGCTGCTGATATTGACCTCTTCCTTCATCACTTCCGACCGAGGTAGTCAGTTTGATTCCTGTGTATTCCATCCAGAGAAGTTCGTGTGTATAGTTACCGTTTATTGTTGAAAAAATGTATTTGCAATGAAAAGGTTGTTGGTCTTAACAAAATTTTATTATTGTATCTCCATTTCTATCACCATGACTACAATTTCAACTTTTTTCCCTTCCACTTTGTTTCCCACTTTCACATTCCAGTCTCAATAATTATCAGTGCATCTTGATTGAGTTTGATTAATTTTAGACTGAAAGATGGTAGAATTATTCAATTATTTTTTAATTATTCAATTTCTTCATAAATAGTTTAATATATAAATTTGTATTAACTGGGTTTCTCTGTATGTGGATAGATACTATCCTATCACAAACGGCATTGCACATCAAGATGATTCTTGAAATGCCCTTATTGGTAATGAATTCCCCTTGAACCTGTCATTCCTTGCATAGTAACCCATATGACAGCCTGGTTGAAAATGGACACTACCGATCCATCTCAGCGCCCTAATACCTAGGATAGCAATCTTTTTGTCTTCTTTTCTTCTTTTTTTTTTTATAATCACATTATTTTATTGGGGGCTTGTACAACTCTTATCACAATCCATTGTGTCAAGCACTCTTGTACATTTGTATCCCTCATCATTCTCAAATCATTTGCTTTCCACTTGAGCCCTTGGTATCAGCGCCTCATTTTTTTGTTTCATTTTCTTATGCCTTCAATTTTCCTAGCTTCATATTTTGTTCGTTCTGCATTGTGGTTAATGGATGTTTGCAACTACTTTCATTTTGAGTTGAACCCAATGGTCCCTAACGCGTTACTCTATCCATGTCATTTTGGTTGCTACATGTGGAGAAGGCAGCTTTTTATAGTTGTGTTGTGAGTGCCTTCCAACCTGAGGGACTCATCTTCTGGCACTCTGTCCGACAATGTTCTGCTGCTGTTAGTTAACATGATTTGTAGTGGCTAATCCCTCAAGCGGACAGCCTATTCCTTTTTCACAGTCTGTTCTTAGTCAAGAAGTGCCACTGAAACCTGTTCACTTTGTAGGAATTTGGGAATTGAAAGCTGATGGCATACGTTCCCAGTGTTATAGCAACACACAAGCCACCACATTATGAGAAACTTATCGACAGGGGTAGTAAGTAAATAGACACCTGAATATGTTGCTCATAAGACTCTAAATTAGGACGAATCATCTTGTGTAGGATAATTTGGCCCTATCAGGAAAAATTACATGTGTTCATAACTGTTAACCCAGCTGGTCAGCTTCTAAAAATTTGGCCTGTAGATAAAATTTATCAAATTATGTGTAAAACTGAATGTTCTAGTTATTTACCACATCATTGTTTATAATAACCGGAGCATAGAAATAGCCTTTCTGTCTACCAGTTGACTACTGATGAAATAAATTTTATTACATATTTATATTTGCCATTGTCTAGAGACAATTTTGATTGACACACTGATGCAGGGTAGTGTTACTAGCACCTAGTATGTAAAAAACATGCCACTAAACAAGTTACAATGCACAAGACAGCCAGATCACAAAGAATTTCCGGGCCTAAAATATCAAAGGGACCATGGTTGAGAAACCCAGATCCAACCAATGGAATGTTATGCAGCTATAAAAAGGGACGCAGAGCGTTTTTTATGTGGAAGATCTCTAAATGAGAGGCAAGGTACGGATTAGAAAGCTACATTCATAGAAAAGGATGGCAAATAGTATATTTATGTTTGCCTATACATGCATAATATCATCTGAAAAAGATTTCTAGTAACTGATAGCATTGCTGGTGGGTAAAGGTGGAGGGTAGTATATGAGTGACTAGCATTAATGATTTTTACTATATACTCTTCACAATTTTGAAATTTATGAATGCATAACCTATTCAGATATACAGACTTAGGAAAATGGAGAAAGTTTAAATACTTTGAGGAAATCATTTTTTAATTTCATAGAATCTTTTTTTTTTCCTAGAGAAAGAGGCATTACTGGAGACTTGACAGCAAGTGTCTAACGCTGTTTCAAAATGAATCTGGGTCAAAGTATTATAAGGTAAGAGCTTCAAACGGGTTACACATTGGGGTGTAACTGCAAAGTCAGCAGTTCAAAACCACCACCCACTCCTCAGAAGAGAGATGAGACTTTCTACTCCTGTAAAGATTAAAAGCCGGGGTAGAAAGGTGGAACCAATTATAGGGATCTACATATAACCTCCTCCCTGGGGGACGGACAACAGAAAAGTGGGTGGAGGGAGGGAGACGTCGGACAAAATAATTGTAATTTATGAATTATCAAGGGTTCATGAGGGAGAGGGGAGCATGGAGGGAGGGGGGGAAATAAGCTGATACCAAGGGCATAAGTGGAGAGCAAATGTTTTGAGAATGATGAGGGCAACAAATGTACAAATGTGCTCGACACAATGGATGGATGGATGGACTGTGAGAAGAGTTGTATGAGTCCCCAATAAAATTATTTTTTTAAAAAGATTTAAAGTCATAGCAATTCAAATGGCAGTTCTGATCTGTCCTAGGCAATGGGTTTGTTTTGTTTATTAAATAATGTGTATTTTTCAGCTATATCCAAATAGTCTTATGTCACTATTATTCAGTGTGCCTATGATGACATGCTAATAAAGTTCATAGCAGTCACTGTCCGTTTTCTTTGTTGTTGCAGCAACTGTATCTCACCCTTCCATTCCACCCCCCACAGCAGCTCTGCTAACCCAGAGCTGGCGGTGATCATTGTTAGTTTTGGGTGCCTTGTCAGTTTGGACTGCTAGCTACAAGGTCAGCAGTTAACCCCACCAGCCACTCCTTGGGAGAAAAGTGAAGGGTTTTGTTCCCGTAAATATTCACAGGCTTGGAAACCCGCAAGGCAGGACTCGACTTGATGGCCGTGAGTTCTTAGTTTAGTCAGGTTGCTGCTATTTTCTCTGTGGATGCTGTAATTTAGATTATACTATTTAGAAAGTTCCATGATCATTTTCTGCAGAAGATGGCATTGTGGTATATGGTATTTCTCCTGCCTTCTACTGCACCTTTGGCCTTGGTCTCTGATTTATTGTATTGGTTCTTTATCTCCTTCTCTGCCTCTGGCATTGCTGGAAGTACAAATGATTCAAGACAGGAACTGTCATTAAGACTAGAGTATGTGCCTTCCATGTGCCCCACACTTCAGGGACACTTGGTGTCGATCCTGATGAATTCGTTAGAAATGCATAGGGTTAGTTTTTTTAAGTGTTTCTGAAATTCAAAACAGGACATAGTTCATATTTTATAATGCTTATTTTTTTTTAATTTCAGGAAATCCCACTTTCTGAGATTCTCCGTGTATCTTTGCCATGTGATTTCACAAACATTTTACAAGGCAGCAACCTGCACTGTTTTGAGATCATCACTGATACCATGGTATACTTTGTGGGTGAGAACAATGGGGACTGCTCTCACAATCCGGTTCTTGCTGCCACTGGAGTTGGACTTGATGTAGCACAGAGCTGGGAAAAGGCAATCCGTCAAGCTCTCATGCCTGTCACCCCTCAAGCAAGTGTTTGTACTTCTCCTGGGCAAGGGAAAGATCACAGTAAGCAATAAGCTAGTTGATGATTTTTTCCTGTTTGGACCTTAAGCAGTTTGTGGGTGTGGGTGTGTATCTGTGTGTGTTTTAATGCTTATTATAAGGTTTGTCTTAAGACACCGAGATAATGAGAATACCTTTATAAAATTGTTGGTTCTTGGGTATACATAAAATACTCAGAGTTGGCCCCACAGGCAGTCTTCCCTACATTTAAACCCTGGCTTCACCTGTTCACTAGAGCCTGGATTTTAAAGTGTGTTTGATCTTAAGTGCGTTTCTTCTCTGTCGTGGTAAATACTTCATCCCTGCCATCAGTCGGTTCTGAAGCATAGAAACCCTGTAGGGCAGGGTATAACTGCTTCTGTCAGATAGCTCTGTACAGGACCAGAGAGCCTCATCTTTCTTTTGAGGAGCAAGTGGTGGTTATGAACTGTTGACTTTGTGCTTAGCAGCCCAGCTCATAACCAATTACACCACGAGAGCGTCTTACCTCGGGTTGCCAGTATTCAGTGAGAGAGTGCTTATAAAGTGCTGTGAATAGCGCTTGTTTAAATGTTAAATGATTGTAAATATATCTGAATTTACTTAATATTTTTAAATTGAGCTTTTAAAAACAAGCTACTTTACTTGATTAGTTGTGCTCGTTTCCTTAGCCAAGGTTTATAGTGGAGATGGCTAAAAAAAGCTTCACATTCTTGCTCCCTTGAGTTATTCTGGAGATTCTAGATGTTGGACCCCTATTCTCATGTACGTTTCCTTTTGTCTTTTTCTGGAAAATTAAATTGACTCTAGTGTCAGACTTTCTCTGCTTACCAAAGTAATAGAAACTTTTAGACTACATAGAAATATGTAATATAGACTGAGAGAGTTTTATCTGTACAACACACAGTCATCTCTGTACCTAATCCTACACTGCCACCTATGCCCTGAAAATCATCTCTGCAATCTGGTATAAATTTTTAGATTTGGGACAGGTGAGAGAGAAGAGCTATACTATTCATACCATACTATTTTGCTTTTTTTGGGGGGGGGGCGGGGAATGGTGTCATAAAAATGATGTATTTAACAATTGTTTTATCCATTATTAATATATACGATATACATCAGTGTCTATATAGGTTTACTACTACTTTTTAATATGAGTATAATACTTTTTAATGCAAGAACTATAAGAAGTACATAAAACAAAAATAGAAATACTCAGTTTTAGCCCCCCTTTCCCACTCCCTAGGAGGACTCCTATCTATTTTTCAGTCTTGTCTTGGTTTGGGGTTTGTTTTTATTTAGGTACTAAACCCACCCGTAGCCATCAGATCGATTTCCACTCACAATGATCCTACTTAGAGTTTCTGAGCTTACAAATCTTTATGAGCAGCCCCAACCGTCTCCCTCCGAGTGGCCAGTGTGTTTGAACTGTGCAGTCGACAGCTCAGTGCTTCCCCAACAGTGCTGCCAGGGCTTCTTAATTCTCCTTCCGCCACCCTGAGGCTTGCTTTCTCAGTTTACCAGGAAAACTGGGGTAGCTTTCTGATCCAACACAGCTCTACATCCTTTCTCAAACAGGTAGTATTCCTTTGTATTTAATTATTTCACTAGTTTCCTGCTAATAAATTAGTTTTGTGGATATGTACAGTGTGTTTAAATGTACACAATTGTATTAACTGTGAAATTTTAACTTAATTTTTTTAAATTTAGTATACTGTGGACATTTTTTATGTCAATGAATATTAATCTTAGTAAGCCAGTATTAACAATTTTATTCTTTCTCTCATAAACCTTCTTTTATATTTTACAGAAGATTTGTCTACCAGTATCTCTGTAGCTAATTGTCAGATACAAGAGAACGTGGTGAGTAATAATTACAGCTGAAGTATGCAAATTGAGGAGTAAAGTCAGGGAAAATAAATTTTGAAAACCTTACTAGAAAAATAGGTTCATAGTTCAAGGCCTTAAACAATGTGTGTAGAGTCAGTATGCTAGAATTTTGGAATAACAGACTTCTTCCTAAGGTGTTCTGTTTTAAAAGGAAACAAAGGCAGATTTTTAAAATTATTAAAGTAGATTCATAATTTTATAAGTAGCACTAGAATACTGTAAAGTACTTACTATCATTCAAAGAAGAGGGGAAGATTACTTCTGGGTGAGCAGGAAAAGCTTCCTGAAGAAAGTGGGACTTGATTTGTTCCTGGTCAGATCTAGCAAGGTTGTTGGATAGTAGAGCTGAGGAGGTGGGGCAACGTTCCAAGTAGGTAGAGAGGAAGAATGAGTTAGCAGAGGGAAGCAGGAGGAAATGCAAGGCTTTAAGGTTTGAATTTGACTGCTCTAAAACGAAAACTCGCTGCTGTGAGGTCAATGCCCTATAGGACAAAGTAGAACTACTGCATAGGGTTTCCGAGGCTGTCAGTCTGTACTGGAGCAGACAGCTTCCTCTCTCTCCTAAGGAGTCACTGGATGATTTGAAGTGCTCACCTGGAAGTTGACTGCCAGATGCTTAGCCCACTGCGCCACCAAGGTTCCTTTGGGCTGATACAGAGGATTGATTATAATGGAGTTGGCATGCTTTCTTTTTGTAAAGGACTAGATAATAACTATATTAGACTCTGCAGGCTGTTTGGTCTCTATTACAACTCAGCCACTGTTGGGAAAAGCAAGTGTTGACAGTATGCAATTAAGTGTGGCTGTATTCCAATAAAACTTTTATTTCTGGACACGGAAGTTTGAACTTAATGTAAATTTCATGTGTCACAACATATTTTTATTATTTTAGCTTTTTCCCATCCATTAAAAAATTCCAGAACTATTCTCAATTCTTGGACTATTAAAAAGGGGGGTGGGGAAGGCCGGGTTTGACTGCAGGCCAGTTTGCCAACCCCTGGATTAGAAGGGAAAAAAGCTAGGAAAAGTCAGAAAATTATTCAAATCTCTGATGAAAATCTTTCCTTGACTCTTTGGGGCATTCAGCTGTTGTATAGCTACACCATGTAAAGCTGTTGGGGTTTCTAAAATTGCAGTGAAGACAGGGTACCCAGTATTGTTAAGGGAGGTAGAGAGTTTCAAGGAGGTATTATCTGTGTGTCTGTCCTTGTGGTTGGCAGCATAGATACTAGATTCCTGGGATCTTTCAACGGAATGAGACACAAGAGCCCAGGCTCAGTAAGAGCCCACAGGAGCTAAGTGACAGCCATTTGTTGCTGAAGGGAAAACAGATTTCAGAATTGGTCTTTGTTAAAGAACTTATTTCAGCAATTACTAATAGATGCCCCTCATCTACTTTGATAAAATTCAAATTTTTATCAAACAAAAAAATAGTTGAAAAGCATTTCAAAATGATCCAGTCAAGCTTTAAAATTTTCATTCTTACTTAAAACATAAGATGCGGTGATAAATAGTTCATGGAAAAAATGGAATTTTCCGTTAACGTTTTGAAGCCCCGCATAGACTCAGCATTTGTTTTTGTCACAAGATTTTGTCTTTCAAGGGCACTTAGTTCCTACTTTGTCTTTCTTGCCCCAAGCCCACCCAAGTGCATTGTGTTCACTGTCCCAATTGTTGCTTTAAAGTGGAGCCAAGGACACTTGTGAAAAATTCTGAGAAAAGAACCTTACGTTCTTACTCCCTCGGTCTTTTGAATTTATTTTGCTGACAAGTAATTTGATAACAATTGTTTGTATTGATTCATCTTTATAGGATTTCCAAAGCAACTTAGTTTCCATAGAAATCTTATACTTCATTGATGTCTATTTGTTTATATTTCATTACGTATAGTTAGGACATAAGTTATTATTACCAGTACATTTTACAAGTGCAGTCACTCTTAGAGCAATGATTATAACATGACATAAATGTGTGTGACAGCGAGTTTGTATGTCAAAGGCACCATTGAATGAACCCTACAAGAGTAGAGCTGACTGGTCCGAGGCACTGTGTGTGAGCCTTGGCCATCGGCAAGCATGTGCTTCTCAGAGGGAATGGGGTCCAGAGGTTATTAGGGTGTGTTAGTGGGGAAAAGGTGTTTGAGATCGCCTCTTTTGTATTTTATTTGAATCTCATATGGTTTCATGAATTGTTTTATCTTGAATATAGATATATTTTTCTGTTGCGTTTCTAAGTCCTTCTTTACAAATTACCTATCACAGAGTCATCTATCCAATTGGAGTTCAATAAATACTGAAGATAATCATAAAATCATAGGCATTTTAAGATTAGAAGAGCGTTCAAAAGAAACTAAATCCCTGGTAATTTAAATAGCTTGCTTAAGATTACCTAACTTAACCCAAAATTTAAGAATTTAGGATTGTTTACTGCCTAAAATTTCCGGATACTTTGCGTACATCCTCATTTAATTAATTTAAAAGCCCAGTTATTTTGAGAGGTCACAGCCTTGAAAAGCCTCTGGAGCACAGAAATTACTGCTGTGCGTCTTTATCGTCAGTGGTTTACCAAGCAGTCTTTCCCTCTGAAGTCAACTTGTATTCATTTAACAGCAGAAAGTCTTACTGTTGTCTCTGAAGCCAGTGTGCCCCAAGCTTTCCATGCTTTTAATGTACTTAACCCTCATCCACATATCCCCACTATACAGCTTTAGTCTAGTTTTCTGCACACAAAATCCACTGCCATCCAGTCTCTTCTGACTTTTAGGGACCCAATGTAGAGTTGCCACGGTGTAAACCTTTACAGGAGCAGACAGCCTCATCTTTCTCCCATGGAACAGCTGGTGGATTTGAATCAACGAACTTGCAGTTGGCAGTTCAGTGCTTACCCAGCAGAATCCTCAGCACTCCTTATCCAGCACATGACTGCCATCAAGTCAATTCCTACTCAGCGACTACAAGTCAGGGTAGGACTGCCCTGTAGGCAGTTAAAGAACTTACTTCTTTAACTTTATGTAGGTTTTCAAGGCTGACTTTATGGGAGTAGAAAACCTTGTCTTTCTCCCACATCCAGCACAGAGGAAACACAAAATCAATAGTACTTCTAAGACACAAAATAGTTTTTGTGTATCTGTTGAAAGGCCTGTGTGCATGCCCAAGTACAAGGAGACCTTGACTGAAGAACTGTGGATGGGACTGGAGAGTGTCCCATTTGTGAATGCTCTCACCACCACCACCACCACCACCACCATGAAAATGAAAGCCGCAGGAACAGCAGGGAAAGAGGGAGGGATCGAAGAAATGGAGTCAAAAGAGAAAGGGAGATTGAGGGTCAGCTCAGTTATAGACTTCCACTTCTTCTCAGACTTTTCAATATCAACTTCATTCTAATAATAATAGCTTAAGTTTTTTTTTTAAATCAAAGCTATCCATTATCTATAAAGGTCAAATTAGTAAAAACTTTGTTAATAGCTTTTCATGTTAATTTACTTTTTAGAGGTCACTACTTGATAGATTTTCTTTTAATTCAAATCTTCTATCAAAGGTGATTTCACATAAAACTTTACTATTGCACATTAGTAGTCATGGTATAAAAATTGGACTTAGCGTCTCCTAAAACATAATATAAAAAGTATAATATACCATAAAAGGGTTTTGTATTTTATGAACATTAATTATCTTATGAAAACAAAATTGTACCTAAGCGTTTAAATGAAAAGAATCAGGAGATAATAACATTGCTGTGTACTCGTAAAGAATACATTATTTTTATTGCTTGCTTTCTCTTGAATAGGACATCAGTTCCGTTTACCAGATCTTTGCAGATGAGGTGCTTGGTTCAGGCCAGTTTGGCATTGTTTATGGAGGTAAGTGACTCCATAGCCTTTTGTACACTGGGTATGTTGTAGACAAATTGTGAGATTGTCAAACCATCTCCCAGATAATACGTCTTAATCTCATAACTTTGTTGGGTAGCCTTCTCTTCTAAGGTTAGTGATGTTATTTTAGCTATGCCCTTTTCATTGAAATTGGACTTTTATTATCAGTTTTTATTGCAAACTTTCAAAAGTAACAGGGAAATTATTTTTCGATGAAATAAATTCTTATAACACATATAGAGATATTTCTGTGAGGGAAAATAAGGATTGAAGTTTAGGTATTCTGTGTGAGTTTGGCCACTGAAGTATATTCCATACTGGTCTGCCAACACCATTTGTCTAAAGATGGAATAAATATTACAACAGATCTGAAGACCTGAACCCTTATCCAGCTTGGCATCTTAAATCCCTGTGGGATATCAGAGAAATCATTTAATCTCAGTATGCCTCAGAATCTTCATTTGTTAAACAAGCAATAAAACCTACCCCGAATAATACACAGAGTTAATGTCTATGAAACCTAGTGCATATAAAAGTACTTCATGAGCTGTGGTGCCAGTAATGTCAGACCCTTCTCCTTTGTCCGTGCTGTTAAGAATGGTATCCTATTTGGTCTTCCTCTTCCACATCACGCCTGGAGGGAATCTTTTTTAAGAAATAAAACAAAAATAGGAAAGTGAATAAAGTATTGCTACCAGGGTCCCAACTTGATGCATGCATGGGTTTATTCCAAAGACTACGTGTTTCAATATGTCTCCATGATCACTGGATGGTTGCCAAAAGGTTCCCTCAGTGGTACGCTTAGGCTTGTTAGGGTGCATACCAAAAAAGTTCAATCCGAACAGTGGATTTCGAGGGGATATGGGTCACTTCAATTCAAGGCAGAGAGATCAGTTTAGAAGGTTATGGGGCAGAGGTCCTCAAACTTTTAAAACGGGCCAGTTCACTGTCCTTCAGACCCGTTGGAGGGCTAGACTATAGTTTACAAAAAAAAACAAACTATGAACAAATTCCTATGCACACTGCGCGCATAAATCTTATTTTGAAGTGAAAAAACAAATGGGGCAAAAACACCCAGCAGGCTGGATAAATGTCGTCAGCGGGCCGTATGTGGCTGGCGGGCTGTAGTTTGAGGACCCCTGTTACGGGGACTGTTGGGAGGACTGTTAGTAAGTTTTCTTAAAAGACACAGGACAATCACAGGGGCTTACATCAGGAAGCTCTGAGAAAATAGAAAACTGCATCAGTAAGAAAAATACCCAAGAAGTTAAGCTATGGAACTTTTCCCACTATGACAATATACCTATTCATTCTTCAAGGGTAGCAAGGATTGTCCTGTAAGAATTTTGTTGGGAAACCTTACTGCATCCACCCTGTAGCCCTGATAATTCACCTTCAGGCTTGTTTTTAATCCGTCACTCTCAGAGAACATTGAAAAGGAGCATACTGTGAGCCCTTCAAAGATGCCCTAACTGCCACTTCGACATGTGTAACATGAAGAGTGCAGAGTTTTCGGTGGCGGGCGAGACAGATGGGAGCATTGCCTTCTGAAGTCTATAGCCCTAGAAAGAAGATATGTCGAAAGTTGTAGCTTCACTTTTAACAGTTTTGTGCATTATAGATAGCTGTTATTTTATAGCTATACGTTTCGACTTAACCGTCATATAATTTCAGTCTATGGACAGCTTCCGTGGTAAAGATTATGGCATATACTTGTGCTGTCTCAGTTTGCTGCCACTACTGCTTCTTTCTCTTTTATTTGTCTTTCAATAGGAAAACATAGAAAGACTGGAAGGGATGTGGCTATTAAAGTTATCGATAAGATGAGATTCCCCACAAAACAGGAAAGTCAGCTCCGTAATGAAGTGGCTATTTTACAGGTAAAAAAAAATCTTTGCATTGGTTTTAATTCTTTTTTTTTTTTAAGCGTTTTATTAGGGACTCATACAGCTCTTATCACAATCCATACATACATCAATTGTGTAAAGCACATTTGAACATTCATTGACCTCATCATTCTCAAAACAACCACTCTCCACCTAAGCC